GCTTACTACTGTAAGAAACCCCCCTTTTGTGTTTTTTTTGACTGGTAAAAGGTAAAATCTTATTGGTGGCTGTAGATAACTATCATTCTTTGCATTACTTTACATACATGACTAGACACCATTGTGTTTCAGGCAGCCAGTGGCTAAAATCACCAATGTAGCCGTCTGATTGTACAAATGAGAATTCTGAAACTTTGAGTATTGTAATCCCAGCAGCCAAAAACCCTCAATGCACTTACACAGGGGAGTAATGACACTAATAGTAGCAAAGGGGTGGTGCCTGCTTCTCCTAATCTCTCCCTCCCCGACATGCCACTCAGTGGAGAATGTAACTGCCACCATGTCTGTAACTAGAAGTTTCAATGACTGTCTTCCACATTCTTTTCCTGAAAGGCCTTAAAAATTAACTCTGCTGAAAAGATTTCAATGAAGTGGTGAGGTTGGGGACCTAGCCTACGTGACACATATTGGGAACCTAGCCTACGTGACACATATTGGGAACCTAGCCTACGTGACACATATTGGGAACCTAGCCTACGTGACACATATTGGGAACCTAGCCTACATGACACATATTGGGAACCTAGCCTACATGACACATATTGGGAACCTAGCCTACATGACACACATTGGGAACCTAGTCTACATGACACACATTGGGAACCTAGCCTGCGTTACGTATATTGGGGACCTAGCCTACGTTACGTATATTGGGGACCTAGCCTACGTTACGTATATTGGGGACCTAGCCTACGTTACGTATATTGGGGACCTGGCCTACGTGACACATTTTGGGAACCTAGCCTATGTAACACATATTGGGAACCTAGCCTACGTGATATATACTGGGGACCTAGCCTACATGACACATATTGGGGACCTTGCCTACGTGACCTATATTGGGGACCTAGCCTACGTGGCACATATTGGCAACCTAGCCTACGTGACATGTATTGGGAACCTAGCCTGCGTGATCTATATTGGGAACCTAGGCTACGTGACACATATTGGGAACCTAGCCTGCGTGATCTATATTGGGAACCTAGCCTACGTGACACATATTGGGAACCTAGCCTACGTGACACATATTGGGAACCTAGCCTACGTGATATATACTGGGGACTTAGCCTACATGACACATATTGAGGACCTAGCCTACGTGACGTATATTGGGAACCTAGCCTACGTGACGTATATTGGGGACCTAGCCTACATGACACGTATTAGGAACCTAGCCTGCGTGATATATACTGGGGACCTAGCCTGCGTGATATATACTGGGGACCTAGCCTACGTGATATATACTGGGGACCTAGCCTACATGACACATATTGGGGACCTAGCCTGCGTGACACATATTGGGAACCTAGCCTGCGTGATCTATATTGGGGACCTAGCCTGCGTGACCTATATTGGGAACATGGCCTACGTGACATGTATTGTGAACATGGCCTGCGTGACATATATT